TAAAAATGTATTATAGTAATTGTAATGTCTAGTTTCTATTCAAATTCCAAATAATTTTAGTAAACTATATCAATAATTTCAATTCCATAAAATTTCTACTAAACAAGATTAAAGAAATAACATTCCCATTTCGATTTGATTTCATAATTCCGTGGTAAATAATGCTTCAATAGATAATTTGACATCTTGTTCAATTCGTTATATTCTTGTGACATGCAATTTTAAGTTCTAAATCTAGACTAACAACCTCATATTACCATTATTCATTGAAATATCATTTATTTTACAAATTTCCACTTCAAATTTACATTCACGTTATCTAAAACTAGTTTAAGATTTGAGATTATAAAGCTTTGTTAAGAACTCTTTCATTATTGCCCACCATAGTGATTGCTATTATTACAGATTTATGAACAAAATAATGAGTTTCATTAATGATGTAATACGAGCAATTATTAGTTCTCTTAGTTTTGCATCTATGATTACAATTTTTTTTTTAATATAAATGTAATTATACATTGTGATAATAATTCATGGGCCATAATTTATATATATATATATATATATATATATATATATATAATTTAAATCAGACTAAAAAAAAAGAAAAGAAACAAACAACATTCAATGAATGTAAATTAAATGTAAAAATATAAACTCCATCCAGAACAGGAAAAATACATAATTGTTTTTATGGTTTAAAAAAAAACACAATTATTTTTCGATGTTTTTTTCTTTGGGAAAATTTATTTTTCGATGTTATTTTCCTTAATGGAATTGTTATTAATATTAATAGGTTCTATCTCAAAATTAATTGACAATGAGAGTAGCAGTCATATCCATTATAAATCAGGTCCCTTTTTTTTCTGAATTATTTATTATATTGGCCATCCCGTAATGAATTGGGCTGTCAATTAATGGGTAATTTTTTTTATAAAGAATTAATGGGTAATTGAGAGTAATAAGGGTCAGGTATTTGTACATAGAATATCACCACTAGCCAAAAATGACGATTTCCATTTTTTTTAAATAGCATAATTGATAATATCAACCAAACTCCATATATAACTAGGTAACTCTCCTGTTGTTAATTTAAGTACATTAAGTATACTATACGAGTGTTGACGTAGAGATTTGGTTTCTCGAGATTTCGTCAAATGTGTACCAGTCCTCTAAATACAAAAATAGATCGACGGATCAACGTGACGTGCAAGACAGATTGAAATTAGGACAAGCTACACGGGCTCTGATGCTTAAATTAGTATCAGAAGTCGAGTGCAGAGAATAGGATGTTTCGAATTGAGAATCAAGGCGAGTTAATAAGGGTGTAACTGTTAAACGGTCGGATGGACCGTTATAGTTCTCGGCCGGTGGGTCGAGAACTGCTCAGTGCAGAGAAGGTCTCGGTATCGAGGCCTGGTTGGCCGGGAGCTGGCTAGAATTGTCGGGTGCCGGCCCCCTTTCCTGGCTCGTGCTTTCTTCTCGGGTTCCTTTCAGCCTCCCGTCGTTTGGTCTCTTCTCTTTTTATCTCCCCATGACAATCCTCAATAAATTAGTAACATATTTTAAAAACGGTAAGTTTGATCCTGTTACCTCTTTTTTTTATTTCTTTAGTTCTGACGGGTCCTTATTTGATTAGTCAAGTGAAATTATAGAAACTAAAAAAGGAAATGAAGAGTAGAATGTTAGAAACTAGAAAAGCCTAAAATTTGTCCAACCCAAGGCCCATGGGTATGAAGAAAAACCCATCATATGTAAGTGTCATTTTGGATTTTTTTGGATGTCCAAATGCATTTTTTTTTTTAATGGAACATGTTGGGGGTATTCGAACTCACAACCTCTCAATTTGAGGTATATGTCAATTTGAGATTTATTCTTTTATAGTATCCTAACCTAAAAGAAAGAAAAAAAATCGCTTTCGTGTATTCACTTTCAAAATATCTATTTTTAATCTCTAAATTTAAAAAGAAAAAAGAATCACTTTGAATATTTACTATTATTTTGCTACCTAATATTTACTCGTCCCACACTCGTTTTATCCAACTTAGGTACCTTCAATACATACCTTTGTAGGACACCACCAATGCATATTTGAAACTATATCATTTATATAATAAACAATTAAGGACAAAATAAAGATAGGAACCAAAATAATTGTTATTTTAAAATTCACATATTAGAATAGACGTTTTGAAAATTAAATGACAAATAATGAGATTTACACCAAAATAAGAAAATAAACAAAATACACTTCTAATTCTAAAGATTTGCGTTGGGTGTCCATTCAAACTTTGAGATAGACATTTTAATTCGTGGGGTTTGGTAAAATGGTTCTCAATGTTCCGAGCTCATTTGACGATGATTGGTAATATGGAGTCTTTTTACGATTCCTCTTTCATATTTATTACATACCATGTTTATGAAAATGACAATTACACCCTTCTGTTACTATCAGGATTCGTTAGTTATTAATTCAGATTTTCTGTTATTGTAGTATATATATGTATTCACTCTTCAGAAATCAATAATACGAAGGATATTTTTTTATCAAGATTTCTCTCGATATGGTATCAGAGCGATAACCAATTTCTTCCACTTTCTTTGAGAATTTTTCTCCGCACTCATTTTCTCATGGATTCTACCCCATTGATCCTTCAATGGATCCAACACCATTGGCACCTGTCGTTACCTCTTTATCCGGGAGTTCTTCTTCAAGTCCTTACTTTCTCCATCACAACGACACATCTAATCTGGTTCTGGTAGATGATAATTATGTGTCTTGGAGTCGTTCTATGATTATTGGATTATCGATCAAGAACAAGATTGGTTTCATCGATGGAACTTTCAACAATCATGTTGTTATTTCCTGCATCTTAAATTCAGTTTCAAAACCAATTTCTGCGAGCTTGATTTTTACAGATTCAGCACGTGAAATTTGGTTGGACTTGAAGGATCGTGGCTCCTTGATTCTGACGCTTCCATACACATTTGTTTTGATCGAACACTTTTTGAGTCTCTCATTCCCAGTGCCATTGCTGGCACCGTTTATTTGATTCCATACTTCTTCAACACGTATTATTTGTTCCAGAATTCAAATATAACCTTCAGTCCATTAGTGCCTTAACATCATATGCATCCTTATGTGTTTCATTCTCTACTGAATCCAGGAAAGGTCCACTTTGAGGATGATTGACAAGGGTAAACTTCATGATGGTCTATATATTTTAGACGCCTTGGATCCAGCAAGTATGTGGGGCTACTACTTCTCAGCCGTCCACCTCCCTATGGCATGCTAGGCTTGGCCATCTTTCTACTATTCGATTAGGTTGCTAAAGGCTTGGATTTTATTGAAACTTTCTCTCCTGTTGCCAAGCTTGTTACTGTTCGGGTTCTTCTCACTATTGTTGTTTCTTCTAATTGGCCACTTTTCCAATTGGAGGTAAACAATGCTTTTCTCCATGGTGACTTACTTGAGGAGGTATATATGAATTTGCCTTTGGGATATTCTCCTCCAGTCCCGATTCCTCGTCAAGGGAGAAGTTCTTATCATCACCGGTGAGATTTGGGGTCTCTCAAATATTTTCTTGGGGTGTTGCGTTACTTTAAATCTGCTCCCTCACTATATATTTCAGTCTTCTGCTAAGGTTGAGTTCTTACTTGTTGACTGATCTGCAAGTTCCTGCCTATTCGCCGCAGTTCATATTACATCGAATTCGACTTTTTATGAGCGAACCAAATACATCGAGTTTGGATTGTCGTTTGTTTTCACCGAGGCTCTTCCTTCTACTCCTTTATTCACTTTATTGTCCAAGATGGGTTTTGTAAACATTTGTACTCCATCTCGAGGGGAGTATTAGGATTGGTGAGTTATTAATTTAGAATTTTTTGTTATTGTGTTCCACTTGTATATATATGTATTCACTCCTCAGAAATTAATAATACGAAGGATATATTTTTATCAAGATTTCTCTCAATAGTTACTAAATCTTAAAAGGGCACTTGTATCGAGACAAACCAAATATTAAAAGGGCATTTGTTGGAAAATGACATTTGAGTCTATCTGGTCTAAAGAGGAAGTTGTGAAAGGCATTTGAATTTGGATAAAGAAGACAAACAAGCATTGACTCAGATGGATATGTACTCAAACAATTGCATTTTATACATCCAATAAATTTAAATACTATATTATATTTATATTATTCAATCTCTAAATATGAACAACAGTAACAACATGTCCAAATGATTCATATATTGGATTAAGAAAATTTTATAAAATATGTTATCTTTATATAAAAAGAATATGTTAATATTTAGAGATAAAATAAACTCGATGTTTTACATCAATATAATAATGGTTATTAACAATTTAATCAAGAATGAAAATTTATACCAATTAATGTTGGTTATTAACAATTTAATAAATAATGAAAATTTACTTCAAGGAATAATTTATAATTGATTATTAGTTGATGAATAACTTTTTATTGGGCAATTGGTGTCTATGTTATCTTTAAAATTTCAAAATAGTTATAAAGTGACGTGATATTGTTAAGTGGACAATTTATAAATAATGTGGCCATATTTATAATTTTTTAATTATTTTTATCCCGAGTGACATTTTTTTCTTTCTTCTTTAGTTCATCTCTTGTCGTGTTAGTTTGTCATTGTCATCGTTTATTTTTTGTCCTGATGTAGCTATTCCAAATCTAGAAGGACCAAAATTTAGAAATTTTATTCACATTTGTGTGATCTCTTAAACGAGGGTTATTGTTTTGCTTTTTTTTTTTCCAATACAAAGTGAACAATAACCCCAAAAAAATGGCGATGACTATTTTTGAAATTGATGAGGTGTAAAATCTAAATTTAGACAAAAATAAAATAACCCGAAAATATAGGGACTAAAACGATATTTCAACTTTTATTATTCTATGGGTTTTATCCGAATCGTAGAGATTAACCAGACGGAAAAAAGAAGGAAATAAAGCACGTGCGAAGCCAAATGATAAGACAACAACTGGCAACTGCGCCAAAAAAAGCCTTCATTCAATTCAATTGAACTCTCCTTTCTTCCAAAACGCTTCACAATCACAACAACTTCCTGAATTTTGTTGTTGTTGATCTTCTACAATCAGGCTGCTAGCGATGTCGATGATTATGATCGGTCGGAGGAAGATTTCGCCGGGGAGCGCTTGGGCCGCCGGTCGCCGGTTACTCTCTCCGTTCGCCTCTCAAGGGTCCTTTCCTTCCCTGTTTCAGTTGCCGTTGGAACAGACGCCCAAATCGATTCCGGAGCCTTCTCCTCCGCTTGCATGCTCTAGATTCAGTACAACATGGCTTCAATCACCTGCTAATCGCTTCGAGGTAAGTTCGGCGGTTTGATTTTCATTTTCTTCTGTTTTTAGCGTTAGTTCTTTTGATCTTAGACGCAAAGCGTTGTTTCAACCTCTTTTAGATCCTGAGATGGCAGCGGTGTGTATGAATGTGATTCTTCGTTTCGCTGTGTCTAATATTATTGCAATGCTCTTCACCTTGCGGAAATCGGGAGAAATTTTGGAATGAGGTCGTGAATGTAATTACGAATTGATTGTTTCTGTAGGCGAATAGAAGAGGCGTTTCGAAGATATGTGGCTTTTCTAGTCAGGCATTGGACGGTCTTCCAGTTTTTAGATTGGTAGATGTACCGTTGGCTCAAACTGGTGAAGGCATTGCTGAATGCGAGCTTCTAAAATGGTTTGTGAAGGAGGTGAAGCCAATTATACTTTCCTCTATTCTCTTGTGAGGGTTCCTTATTTCTTTATTTTATTTTTTTTAACAGTATTTAACGTTTTAAGATATTCCTTATAAAAATGCATGAAAATTGGCTGATAGCTTCAAACAGTTATGTAATGTTCTAAGCTCAAACTGCTGCCATGTTGCTGTCATGTGCGAGCTGTTGGCTTTTTGTCTGGTTTTCTGAGGATGCAAGCTTAGTTCAAGTGATTGGAATTCTGGCAGCTATTTGATTGGACTGTTTCCTTTTACACGTAGATAAATATTGATATTTAATCGTTTGGCAGGGAGATTTAGTTGAAGCGTTTCAACCACTTTGTGAAGTTCAGAGTGACAAAGCAACAATTGAAATAACTAGTCGCTACAAAGGAAAAGTTGGTCAGCTTCTCTATGTTCCGGGTGATATCGTGAAGGTGAGAGTTCAACAGTCAATAGTCATCAACATGAATTCATGGAAACATCTGATGATTTATGATGGAGAGTAGAAATATTCTTCTCGCATTGAAATCTACTTTTCTAGATAACCACTAAGTGGCTGATATATTAAATGTACAGATTGCTCAATGTTTCGATGTTTCGGTGGCTTTACATTAAAATCTTTTTGGTTGTAGACTTTTAGCTGATGTTTGATTGTTTTATGAGATAATTTTCAACCTTGATAATGTTTCATCTCTGTTACTGTTTGTGAATTGCTCACTTCCTAATTGTTAGGAAAGTACATTTTCCATTTGTGCTGAAGCACTCACTGGTAATTGCCAAATGCTATCACAGGTTGGAGAAACTCTTTTGAAAGTGGGTGTTGATGATTTCGAGGATGGAACCCAGGTTTCAGGGCCAACTGAAGGGCATTTGGCAAATCCTGAATTAACAATAGACATCCAACTGGACAAAAACAAATGTGGTGGAGTTCTGTCCACCCCAGCTGTCCGGGATCTTGCAAAACAATATGCTATAGATATAAATGATGTCCGTGGAACTGGTACAGATGGGAGGGTATTAAAAGAAGATATTCTTCAGTATGCTGTCGAGAAAGGAATTCTTGAAGAACAGCATGTTTCTTCTGCTGCTAGTCCTAGAGAGCAATTTGATGGATCAGAGTCTCGCACTCATGCACCAGATGAAGTTAGGTGGAGCTACGAGGATAAGAAAGTTCAATTGAGGTATTAATTTAGAGTGCCTTACTTGTAACGACTACTAAGTAGGCAAATAGCGAATGTTTGTCCAGTTGAGCATAATCATGCAATGTGCCGCTGGTACTACATATCTTTTGACCGTTAACAAATAACTCATGTCCTTTTGTTTTCAGTCCACTTGGAAAACTAAAGTAAGCCTTGAAGTTTGATTTCAATTGGCAAAACAAATATTTTCTTCCCCAAGTGCTAATTGTGTACGACTTTGTTGTGTGATTTACTGGATTTAGAGTTGTATACAACTGATATTTGGTTTGGTTTCAGAGGGTTCCAACGAGCAATGGTTAAATCTATGACCATTGCTGCAAAAGTTCCCCATTTTCACTATGTAGAGGAGATCAATTGTGATGGACTTCTGGAACTTAAAGCATCTTTCCAAGGAAATACTCCTGAACCAGATGTCAAGCACACTTCTCTTCCATTATTGATAAAGTCGCTTTCTATGGCAATGAACAAATATCCAATGCTCAATAGTTGCTTCAACGAAGAGTCATATGAGGTCACTCTCAAAGGTATGCAGTATGAGATGTTTATGTTTGAATTGAATGCGTTAAAAATTTGGGTGATTCCAACACCAAAGATGATATCTTTTTAAAGTTGAATTCCTTTCAAGTTTTTATTTATTTTTGCTACTTGTAGGCTCCCATAATATTGGAATTGCGATGGCTACTCCACATGGTTTGGTTGTGCCAAATATAAAGAATGTTCAGTCCCTTTCTGTAATGGAGGTTTGTAAATCACCGCCCATGTCTCCTATTCTGCTTAAATGAAACCAGATGATCATTTTGAGGCTTTCTAATTTCTAATTGCATTCAGGAAGTTGAATGCTGATATGTTTAAATCAATAGCATCGAAATATACTTGTTATGATTTGGATTGTCTCCACCCATAATTCTCTACTTTTCCGTTCCCTCATCAATCATTTCCATTTTCACATATTTCCCATTCAATTGAAAATTCCCATCTTTTTATAGATTTCTTAAACGATTGTCTTCCTCTATCAATGTCACTGGCAAAAATCTGCGTTTTCACTGAATACTTTGATTTCAAATGCATTTACTTAGATCACAAAGGAACTTTCACGTTTACAACAACTGGCACTGGATAACAAGCTTGGTCCTGGGGACATATCCGGCGGCACAATAACCTTAAGCAACATAGGAGCCATCGGTGGAAAATTTGGTTCCCCTTTGCTCAACTTACCCGAAGTAGCTATCATCGCAATCGGTCGAATCAAGAAGATTCCACAGATTTCCGATGATGGGGACGTCTACCCCGCATCGATCATGACAGTAAGCAACCAAAACCAAAACCAGTTTATATTTCCCCCGCCTGGACTGAACCAACCCCTCTTTTTTGTCAGGTAAACATTGGTGCAGACCATAGAGTTCTGGATGGAGCAACAGTGGCCAGATTTTGCAACGAGTGGAAACGATTCGTTGAAAATCCAGAGCTTCTCATCTTGAACATGAGATGAGAGGATGATGTTCAGGTTTAGGAACCGGCAAGTCGTAAGATTATCAATTTTCCTTGGTATGTAACGAATTGACAGGGGCGGTTCCATACCCAAGCGCAAAGATGCTTCACTCGGTTCTTTCCTTGTGCTTTTATATGCGCTCTGTGACTGTCTGTTGCTGGGATTTATCGATGTGGGACTTGGACATGGGCCATGGGCTAACAACCACTCTAAAATCTAAATGATTTCTCTCCATATTTTTCTTTATGTTATTAATTACAAAATATAAAAGTATTTTTTACGATCAATTATTTGAACTATTGAAGATTGTGAACGTTAAATTGTCACCCCAAATAAATGCAATTGATTTTTTTTTTATTCAAGAGGATAAATATGGAATGAGACTCTTCCCTATATCTGAAAGGGTATTCTCCAAGTTCACCTTTGGTTTCCCAAATTGAGGAATAGATGGAAAATAGAAATGAGAAGTGACTCTCGAGATGTTGAATGGAATTCTTTGCCTCACCTTGAGATGAGAGGAAATGTCGATGGAGAAGTTTCTCTTTTATCATTTATTTCATCGATGTTGGCCCAGCTGTGACTTGTTCATGCTCACTCTTAATGGACAAATCTTCGATCCGATATGCCCGACTCTTGATTTGGTTTGGTTTTTTAGTACTCTTGATTTGGTTTTTCAATTGGCAAGTACCCTTAAAAAAGTTTTATAGCTATGAATAATTCATATTAAATTGGTGTGTGTTTTATATAACTTATAAAAAAAAAGAAGTAAAAAAGATTATTGATGTTGGACAATAATCCAACTCACGATTTTAATCTAATTAGTTTTTGTTGGACTTTCCAACTTACCAATTTAATCTAATTAGTTTCCATATATATATATTTAATATACTATATTCTTTTTTTTTTAAAATACTAKGTAAAAGTAAGGATTCGAACTCATAATCTTTTAGTTGGAAATAGGTGTCCTATCAAATTGAGTTATGAACGTTTGAATATTCTTTCTTAAACTTGCAATATAATTAGCTTTTTTACAAGTCCATACACTTGGCAAAAAAATTATTTTTTTTACAAGTTCAATGCCATTGGAGAAATGTATCCCAATCTATCGCAATCAAGCTGTTCAACTGCTGTTTGTAGTATAAATATCCCAAGACATGAATCAAAGTCGGGATTGAATTGAGTTAGTTTCCAATAAAATCTAAAAATATCACATCTTGCTGTTTTAATATTCTACCCGGCGCCTGCGTTGCGAGATCACGGAACTTGTTCGAATTCGACACCGGAAATGGCAACGGCGTACGCAAATCTTTTGAATGTCGGCACCAAGATCATCGCCGTCGGCCGGAACTACGCCGCCCATGCCAAGGAGCTCGGCAACGCCGTCCCCAAGGTCCTGATCAATTTTTCGTTTCCATTCAGAACTTTCTTCATTCAAAATTTTCAGGGGAATTTTCGTTAATTAGTTGATTACATAGTCTCTACGATTGCGATTTATCGACTGGATTGGGGAAATTTTGAATCTATTTCAGGAGCCTGTTTTGTTTATGAAACCAACGTCGTCTTACTTGCAAAATGGAGGGACGATCGAGATTCCCCACCCTCTGAAGTCTTTGGATCACGAGGTCGAGCTCGCCGTCGTCATCTCGCAGAGAGCTCGCGATGTTCCTGAAGCCTCCGCCATGGATTATGTTGGAGGTAGGATTCTTTGTTTCTGCATCTTAGATGAATTTGTTTGGCATGAAACCCTCTTGATTGACCCTCTCGTGGGCCAATTTTCTGCAAGCAAAGCATAAGTAAAATTGTCCTTAGTATATTAGGGCCTTGATCTGTGTCAAATATACCAATTACTGAGTTTGATTTGATCATCCGCACGATCTGAAACTAGAAATCATTTGAGAGTCATTCACCATTTTTACTTCCTAACCTCGAGCGAGACATGTTCTGACATTTCAGGTTATGCTCTTGCACTGGATATGACTGCCCGAGAAATCCAAGCTTCTGCAAAGGTGATGATCTTTTTCTTTTCCGTTTCTTGATGGATGTTAGATAGAAACAGTAGAAAATTATGCAGAGTGAATATATTGCTTTGCTGCATTGATTGAAATGTTGAACATAACAAATACCAACAAGCTGTTCTGTTTGCTTGTCATCAAGAACCCAAGATGGGAGATCTCTGGAAGTAGTTTCTTGCAGAATTCCCAAGTCTGTTTCTATGTCTTTCAATGTTTGTAAGAATGTCCTGAAATAAACACAAAACATCTTCATATCCTCATTGGATCAATCTACCTCTTATAGGCCTTCTATTTCTAACTTCCGAACAGTTTGAAAAGAAATTAAGTGGTGATAATGTATGTTCCTTTTGTTTGCTTTGTTACGGTCTTATGGACATATGGTATAGGTATATGATATCTTCATCGAGTCAAAGAGGTTCAGTTTTGGTGTAGTATAATGTGAAGTTATACAATGCATGACTGTTGAACCGTGTTTAGGTTTCTTATTTTTCAGCTCTTTTATCTGTTAAAGAAGTATACTTTTTTTTCTTAAGCAATTCTGTTTTCATTACCAGTCTGCAGGCCTTCCATGGACAGTAGCTAAAGGGCAGGACACCTTTACACCCATCAGTTCTGTTGTAAGAAAAACCACATGCCTTGTTTTCCTGCACTTTCTTATTAAGTAGAAAGAACCATATCATCAAATGGACCAAATATGAGGAATTAAAGTGATTGCATATATGATTAAATCCCATAGATATTGCATTATACATGAAACAATAATTGAGGAACAATAGAATACGGAAACTACCAGCATACTTCCTTGAGCATCTCTTTTGTCAAACTTTGATCTTCAAACTAATACTTTCTTGTTTTACTCTGTAAATCTAATACTATCTTGTTTTATTCTGTAAATCGTGCAGCTGCCCAAGGCATCGATCCCTGATCCAGATGATTTAGAATTGTGGTTAAAGGTTTTGATGTTTATAATGAAATATTTCCTTTGCTGCATTTAAGTCATTGTATTGTGTTAAGATGGATTGCTTTTGATTAACTCAGGTAGACGATGAATTTCGACAGAAAGGCTCAACCAAGGATATGATCTTTAAAATTCCGTACCTCATTAGCCACATAAGTTCTGTCATGACCCTTCTTGAAGGAGATGTCATACTAACAGGTACCTGAAGCCATAAATCTCTTTTATCTATCAGGTTGTTAGAACTGGTTCGGATTTCTGTTTTTTATTCTTTTTCTACATGTTGAATAAGTAGTATTGTTCTTTACTTGAGGAATCCATCACTATTTAGCATTTCGTCAAGAGAAAGAGCTCCTCTATTTCGATAACTTTTTCTATATTTCTTTAATTGCTTTTCACTTTCCTGCCATTGACTTGAAGGATTTATCACCTTCCAATGATGAAATTCATCAACTTGACCAATGCAAGCTTGTTGGGCATAGAAACCAAGTTGGTTTAGTACTAAGTCGTGTTCTTCCTCACTGTCCAGGAACTCCCTCAGGCGTTGGCCCTGTCAAGGCAGGTCAGAAGGTGACAGCCGGCATCACAAACATCATAGACATTCACTTCAACGTCGAAAACCGGAGGAAACTCTAAACATCTCAAGTTTTCAATTTACAATTATTGTTCAGGTTACACCATTATCTTGAAATACTAGACTTGTCGATACATCAAATAACCATAGGCATCGAACTAAGAAATGCAATAATAGAGAGAGTTTCGAGTTCAGGCCATCCTTATTATGCAAATAAACTGGGAAGACCATAGCGATGCAACTAGTATTAGAACTTTGTAATGAATTGATAGATGTGGTCGCTGATCTCGCGGGGCTTCTCCTCTTGGAGGAAGTGGCCTACGCCTTCCATCACAACGACCTCTTCAAGGAAGGGCACATCTTTCTTCATCTCCCCACTGTTTATATATTCCTTAGTTCCGAAAGAATTGTAGGAAAGGTCAAGGTCACCCACAATGAACTTCACTGGAACTTTCACTTGAGCCCCTGTGAATGGAGCATTGAGTTCCCAGTTCCTGCAACAGGAGCATTGCAGCTATATTTTATGAGACCCTGCGACCGAAATGCGGTGTAAGGTATGTGATATATGAGAATAAAATGAGCGCACCTGTCGAGATTTCGGTAGTAGTTGATCGGGGCAGTGAAGCCTTTGGTGTCGAATTTGGAGGCGTAATATTGAATGTCTTGGTGTGACAACCATGGAGGCAAAGGAATAGGAGTGTCCAGTGGGTGGCCGAAGCCTTTGCCTTTGGGAAGCATCAGTGGCTTTGGAGTATGGTAAGTAAGAAATTCAGTCATAACTCTTTCAGTGCCAATCTTAGCAAACTCGGCCTCGATTTCTCCAGGTTCCTGCATCACAATTCCATTTCCAATTTCTTTGTTTTAAATTGTTTTCCTCTGCGTTAAGATAAATATTTTCTTTTTTT